AGAAACATCAATTTATTGATTTGTTGCTCCATTCACCGATGCATTCACTGGTTGCTCCCTGTATATGCCCATAGCATTGGCATATCAGAATGATGCTCTAACCAACTGACCTACCTGACCAGGGCTCAAATAAACTCTTAAAATATTTAATATGCCTCATTTTATCTTTTAATACTGGTCTGAACTGAGATGTGTATTAGATATTAAATACACACTGGATTTCCAAGTCTTAGGATAAAATAAACATGTAAAATGATTTATTCACTAATAATTTTATGTCAATTGCATGTCAAAATATAGTATTTTAGATATATTAGATTAAATAAAATATATTATTAAAAACAATTCCACCTGTTTCTTTGCAGCTCCTAGATGTTTTTAAATTTAAAACTTTATGCCATATGTGACTTGCACTTATATGTCTGACATTGTATTTCTGTTCAACCATGCTGATAGATAAACCATCTTGCAATTTTCTAAGTACCTGTAAAAATGTTGTGCTTTAAATGAAAACATAGTTATTCCAGTGCATCAAGGAATTATAACCACTCCATTACTTAATATCCTTTTCCATACTTAAAATTGAGGATATTAAATCATCAAACAGATATGTTCCAAGAACACCTTTGCACACACAAACTGGCATCCTGAAAAAGGCTTTGGACCTCGGACATGTAACTCCCAAATCTTTCCTAATTCTCTAAGTTACTGGCTTGTTTTGACAGATATCTAGGCTTTCTTGTCAAGTCATAGATTTGGATTCTATGCACTTCCTAAGACTGGTACTTCCTTCAGACCTTGCCTTCACTTTGTCTCAGTTTCCAGAACATCAATCTCTCACTCCTCATGGACCGCCTTGCCACTCCCATTCAGGGTCCCAATGGCCTAGGAGCAAAACAATCAGTAACTGTCTTAGCCTGTGTCATACCTCAGATTTGTTTATTTCGTAGAAGTTACCTTTAAACTCCCTCATTTGATCTCCTCTGTGTTCCTGGACTATTACACAGAGTACCATCAAGAGTTCAAATTGTGTTTCTAAGTATTTCCAGAAAGGCCAGGCCAAATTCATAGCGTCAATGCACTGGGATTTTTTACCAAAGAAACAATGCAATTTTGAAGCGAGAATTAACTTTAGATAACATCTTGTCCAGCTCCTTTTTTTACAGATTGAGAAACTGAATCTCAAGAAAGTAAATGACTTGTCAAAACTGCAGGACTAACCTTGCAGGAGCTAGACTCAGGACCTCGGCTCTCTGTCCAGTGTTTTGTGTTTTGGTTTGTTTTTTTAATCTACCCTATGCTCTTTCCTCTCTCCAATATGGTAGAAGTAGCAAGGAAAAATCATTGAAATGCATTTTTTTCATATCATTTTTTATTGTTGTTCAAGTACAATTGTCTCCATTTTCCTCCCACCACTCCCCCACACCCCAGCCATCCCCACCTCCCACGCTTGATCCCACCCCACATTGGTTTTGTCCAGGTGTCCTTTATAGTTATTCTTGAAGACCCTCCCCCCTTTCCCCTCCATTGTCCTCTCCCATCTCCCCTCTGGTTACTGTCAGTTTATTTCTAATTTCAATGTCTCTCTCTGGTTATATTTTGCTTGCTTGTTTAAATGCAAAATAAGCAGTTATCCAATTTTCTCCTTGTAAATAAACAATACTTGCTTACTTATATTTCATAGCTTTTAACATGAACTAGCTAGAACTTTGTTTGACTGCAATAATTCTAAACAATTAGCTTTTATCACACATTGACTCTTTTAACCAATTTCCATAGCTTCCTACAGATTTTACAGGAAACATTTGGGTGAAATTGCAAAGAATATATGTGTGAGCAAATTTCATGTAACACAAATGGTCATAATGAGGCAGAAATAATTATGTTTATGACATTCCTTTGAACCGAGGGGCTGGTGGAAGAGATGACCTCAAGGTTGCATACAGGAAGTGATGGTCGATTGGGAACCAAGAAGGTGAAATGAACTTCTCTGAGACATCTTGTGTCTTCCCTGTTTTTTTTCAGACTGGCATTCTGAGCCACATTCTCTGCTGCCCTCCAGAGGCTCTAAGAGCCATTAGAGAGGGCGACAAAAAGAGGAACATACTCAGGTGTATGTATGCAGCTCAGTAATTATTTTTTTCTCTAAGAATTCTGCACCCATGTACAATGTAGGTTCCCCATCCTCGCCCCCACACCACAAAACAATTCTCTGGACACCAGCTGAGTTCACTGCAGTTCAACTCAATTCTGACACTATCTTCCAGGGCAGCAATTTTCAACCTTTTTCATCTCATGGCCCACATAGGCTAATTACTAAAATTCTACAGCACACCAAAAATATATTTTTTGCTGATCTGACAAAAAAAATAGGTATAATTTTAATTCATTCACATCAGACAGCTACTGTTGTGTTGGTTGTTGTCTTCTTTTTTTAACCTGACAGACTGAGGCAAAAGAGGGCAGGGCCCCTGCCTAAACAGTCAAGTATTGCACGTCTTAAAAATTCTTGCAGCATTCTGGTTAAAAATCACTCTTCTGGGAGACAGGATCAGATTCCACAGGCTTGGAGCTCAATCCATACAAGACCGTCCACACTTTCGAGGCCAATTGCAAATCCAGGTCATCACCTGTGCTCTAACCCACTAGCTGTGGATACAAGAGTCTCACAGCCCCCGATTTGGGATGGATTAATGTGCTGGAGTGGCACACAACTCAGAAATATTTTACTTACCTAAGAGGACATAACTCTGGACCAGCCAGAGGGAAGAGATGCATGGGGCAAGGCAAGGAGACAGGGCACAGAGCTTCTGTACTTTCTCCAGCCACCCCTCTCTCAGGCACACCTCTCCAGGCACGCCAGTCTGGAAGCTCTCCAACTTGGTCTTTTTTGGGGAGGGGTTATGAATATATCATTACAGGGATATGGCTGATCAGATCACTGGCCATTTGTCATGGTTCTAACCTCCAGCTTCTCTCTCCTCCCTTGAGGTTGGAGGTGGGGGGTGGAGGGACTAAAAGTTCCAACCTTCTCTACCCAGGTTCCAAACTTCTCTACCCTCTCTACCCAGGCTCCACAGGAAACCAGCCCCTGGCCTTAGGTTTATGATATATTCCTAAAGTCATCATTAAAATAGCAAAGAAACTTTTGTCATTTTCCTCACTTAAGAAATTCCAGAAACTTGTGCCAGAAACTGGGACCAAGAAGAAGATCAAATATAGAGTAATTTCGTAGTATAAGTCACAATATCACTATAGAAAATGTTCAGAATAGGCAAATCCTTGGGGACAGAAAGTGGATTAGTGGGTGTCAGAGGCTGAGAGAAGCAGTTAATTTGGAGTGACTGCTAATGGTTATAGGATGTCTTTCTGAAGTAATGAAAATATTCTGCAATTAGGTGACTATACAACTTTGTAAATATGCTAAAACCATTGAATTGGACACCTTAAAAAAGTTAATTTTATAGTATGTGAATTGTATCTCAAAAAAAATTTCAATCCTGCAGAGTACAGAATGCTAGAAAATGAATTTGTCAGAATACAGTACATTTTTAATAATTATAAAATCTAGGTGTAAGTGTATGGTTTTACCCTGTACAATTCCTTCAACATTACTTTTTAAAATAAAAAAAATGTCTGGGAAAGAAATTCACATAAGCAATAACAAGAGAATAATAATAATAATTTTTTAAGCATGCATAAAGTAGTCATCAGGACCAATAAAAGAAACTGATGAATGTTCACTAAATTTAGAAATTAGAAAGATAACCTCATGCAAAACAGACCTAATGCACACAATGCATGACACCTGTGAGGGTTAAACAGGAGCGAAACTAGAGACGCAGTGCAGGCTGCAGGGATGAAAGCACCCAGTTTAAGAAAAAGTCTTCTGAGAGTTTGTTAGAGCCAAAATGATCACAAGTGTTAGGAAGGGAAATCTCAGCAAACAGAGAAAATACTCTGGAGAATGGCAGTTTCGCAGTTCATTTATACATGAAAGTCAAAGGAGGAGACTCAAGAGAGTTACCTGAAATCCACTGGTGGTAGATTACAGGGGCCAGAGAAAGCAAAGCAGGGATATCTCTGGGATGGAATAAAAAGTAAAACAGAGAGATACTTCTTTTACATCTTGGAGGCGAGCAGGTACAGGATAGTTAATAATTAACATTTACAGCAGGTTACAGCAGTTCTGTGGCCTCTTGTTAGGAGAGGTGGGAGTGCCCTGAGGATGTGGAAGAGGAGATCACTCTGACATCTGAGAGGTTCGTTTATCTCAGATGAAAAAACACAACTCTCTGAAGATAGAAAGTGATCTTTGTTCAAGAAGCCACAGGCCTAGGACATGACTGCCTGCCACAGCCCGCTTTTAGTTAGGATTTTCTATGTTCAGACCACCCGAAGTGGCTACTTTCTGTCTCTGAGTTTATGAAGCCATAGCCATGCCTCCCCTGGACTTGGTAGGTTTGGGCTGTGGCCTCTTTCTTGTCCACATCTCCTAGAGCAGAAGCACATCCTTGCTTCCATGGTATTAATTCATATTTAAATTAGACCATGGTAAAATCCAACTGCTGTCCCTGTCTCCACCTTTTCTCAGACTACGCTGTGCTCCCTCTCATCTCTCACTTTGTAAGAGGTCGTCCTCTCATGTTGAATATGCTTGCTTGGTCACTATGAATGTCATGCAAATTTTTATTATTTGCATATGTTCTTTCATTTCTGAAAGACTAAGAGCTGATGTCATTGCTTGTTTATCTGTGTGTTCCTTCCCCACACTCCTCGCCTTGTCTAGTCTTGTCTCTCTCCTTTTGTTGGTCTAAAGAAAAATAGCATTTGAGACCATGTCTGAGAGGAGCCATTAAATTTTCTAACAACGAGTCTAAATTAACTTAAACCTTATACTAGGTAAAAATCCTAAAATGCATTTATAAAAATAGCATTAATAAAGCAACAGATAACATATCATTTTTATTGAAGTAAAAACTGTCGAGAGGCAAGTGGAAAAAATAATTTATTGCAGATTCTTTTACACATTAACATAGAACATTTATACATATATCGGTGTGTTGATATGAAATACTAAATTGACAAACATTTTTACACAAAAGTAGTTGCACTATATTTTATAAAGATAGATATTAATAAATTATTGAAACATTTAAGAACAACAGGCCAACTATTCCAATAGGAATGCATTCTATGTTATAATTAAACTGAGTTTTCTGAACATGATGCCCTAGATATAATCCCATCCTTCTAAGCTAAGAAGAAAAGCTCATTTCTGGGAATAAAAGGCCAGGGATGGCTCTGATTAACAGTGTCCCAGCTTCATTCTTGGAAGTGGTTAGAGTCCCTAACACATATCCAAACCTAATGTAGTAGCTTAAATACTGCAGCTTTCCAGAACAGCTGAATGTGGTTAATGAAACTTAATACAAAGGATACAATACAAATGATAGCATTTTAGAGGAATTATAATTTGCCACATGATTTGAATGAGCAACCAAATATTTTTAATAACAGAAATGCGTGCTCTATATTTCTTCAGAGAAATTGACATACTTCAAAATAGTCATTATTTTCTTAGCATGGTAAGTTAATTCTTACTTTGGGAGTCTGAAAATAAATCACTTTTTCCCCCCAAAACTTACAATTCACTCCTTTAGAAAATGAATTCTACAATGATATACACCAATATGTTATAAAGTTTGTTATATGTTATAGTCATTAAAATATACATATATATATATATATATGGAGTGGGAAACAGATTTGGGACTCCATGGTCTGTATATACAAGGCCAAATACTGTTCAGTTTCATTTAATTAAATTCAACAGATATTTACTGGGTGCCTACTACATACAAATTACCGGGTTTAGCAATGCTTGTAGTAGATTTGAAGACACATGAAGCACATATCATCCACATCTAAAGCCGAACTTCAGATAATATATTAAACCTGGAAAAAAATCAAAAGCAGGGCTAAAGCTGAATAATGAATAAAGATATGCCTAGGAGAAAGGCTTGGGGGAATTGAGAAAGACAAAGCAGGACTCTGGATCCGTAGGTCGCAGTTGCTCCCTGGCCTGCCGCATATCAGGGGATACCTGGAACTGATCATGGTCTTCTTCCCCCCACAGTCCACGATTCAGTTATCATCCTGCTTTGTTTCCTTAGCAAAGTATAAGAGAAAAGGGGGTTAATTTTCAGTAATATATCAGTAATAAATCTTACAGTACCCTGGGAAAAAATCATTTTCTGTAAGAGTATGATCTGCATTCATACTCTTCAATGTTTTGAAGGCATCCCCCATGACTCTGGGTGAAAGAGGGCCACCCAACTACTGTGAGCAACACTGGAAGTAAAGTTTAACTTCTCAGGAAGCATCGCTAAGCATACCAACCCCAGAAGTAAATTATTTAGTGAAAACAGCTGGAAGAGGGTAAAAATAAATGTTTTAAAACTTGGCGTTCCATTCCTTTTAGGACTTGGGGCACTTTAAAAGCATTTTTAAGGAATGTACACCTATGGAGAAACAAACGGAATCAAGCAGTCTCACCCTCTTTAAAGAATCAATACATCAATAGGGGAACGAGGTGGCAAACTTGTTTCTGCTGCAGCGCACTGGGAGTGAGAAAAGGCAGGGCCTAACCTTCGTGTGTATAGCCCACTGGTAGTCACAGGATTCCCCTTCGGAGGCCAGTGTTGCCAGATACACCCTAGCACATGGGTTCTGGCTGGAGTACAACCACAGCTCTACCATGAGCCCAGAGCTTCCCTAGAAAATCATTTATAATAGGTTCTGGAAAAATTATAAATCACTCTTCTCTCTAGGGCAAACACACAAGGGATCAGGATTTCCAAAGATCCTCAAACAACTACAATTGGAGGTAGCTTGGCCCTTACGAAGATCTGAAACCTCATGGTTAAGAAACTCTGATGCTGTCTCACAATAACTAGGGGCTGAGTGAACAAGGTTGGGGGTTCCCCTCACAGCCCACCACCTCAGTCCTGTTTGAACCAGATGGCAGAGGAAGAACAAAAGAACAGGTCTTCTCCATTTAGGGCTTTTGGTTTTAGTTTCAAAAGCCAGCAACCAAAAGCATCCCCTAAGAAGTATTTATTGCTCTAACTGGCTCATGAATGGTGTAGTATTTCTGCTGCTTTACTTGAAAGTTCATTTCTTTAACTAATAATTCTTTTCAAATGAAGTGTATTCTCAGTGATTATGATTCAGCTTGCCATACATACAGACTGTCTTGAAAATAAAAAGGGCTCTGACTAGTCATACCTCTGTTCCTGTATTTTGTCTTGAGAGAAACCAAACTTGCATTGGTTCTTTCTTGCCCTTCATGGACACCGGGCCCCTGTGCTCCAAGTGGAACTGTGGATCTGAATTGTCTGGTGTCATAAGGCATCTGAAAGATGGGGTAGGGAGCAAGGAGAGAATTATGGAACACGGTTGCCCAGAGAAAGCGATCCGTACCACAGTTAGGAATAAAGACACAGCAAGGACACACACTGAAGTTGTACATAAAGGTAACTCAGAACAGGTTTTCAGAACAATGGCCACATTAGAGATTTCCAAGAGGGTGTGAAATGACTTAAAGTGGAAATAATGACACAATCCACTCAAGTACAAATTAAACAATCCCGAGAGTGACAGTGATGACTGCTTAAAAGGAAGCAAACCCCCTCAGAGGGTTAAACCACGTGCAGACAGACATTCTCCTGTCAAACTCATAAACACCAAGGCATGTTCTCTTACCTGTATGTATATTCAGACACATTTATTTTCCCCTTTTCTCCAGTGGTTTCTGTTCTGCTTGTGAGGTTGACAGTATTTCCAAAAAGACAGTAACGAGGCATCCTCTGTCCTATGACACCTGTGACGACCTCTCCAGTGTGTATCCCTATTGTTATCTGCAGAAATCAAAACTTTGCTTCAACAACTTCAGTCACTAACACACTGATATTTGCTTATTTTATATTACAGAATAATGAGGAGTCCTCATACAAAAAGCATAGGAATTCCCTAGAACTCAAGTGTATCACAGACAAAATCAAAATCCTCACAAAATCTGTCTGCCATTCCTTTTCTAAAGTCTGAAGATTTCAAAGATGTGAACCTAGCAAGTTACATGGGATACAGGAAAGAGTTAAGAAACAAAACACTAAACCCAGAAGGGACAGAAGGTTTTGTATCATCATCACAACTTCCAGTACCTGGGGCTGACTAAGTAACTTCAGACAGGTGAAGAGACTTGCCATCTCTGAAAGAAAGTAATGCGAGTGGGATCTTTAAAATATTGCAGCCTTTGTTGTGAAGATGCCCTTCCTTATGCATAATTAATGACTGCCTGGTCAAGAGTGTGAATCAGCTGTCTACAAGGGTCTATTACTACTCTTTTAATATCTATTTTATTTACTAACCTGAACAGATTCGCCATCAACTTGAACCTGGCCAGCAATTTCCATCATGTCCAAGGCCAGGTGACAAATGGATCGTGCGTGGTGGATGCAGGGCTCTGGTAAACCACTCACTGTCATGTACTTATCACCCACAGTCTCCACCTAACGTAACACATATAGTTAGATGTTGACTAGTTAGCATAAACATGACAGTTTCATTTGCCCCTCCTATACAAAAAATATTTGTCAAGGCTATCAATAACGTCAAGCTTTCCTTCACCTTAGTTCTTTAAAAATTCTAACAACTCCAACAACATACAACTTTGTAGTTATTTGAAATTTACACACATGGCATTTGAGGTATTTGATTACAGGAAGGTGTAGTCTCAGCATTATTTTTCCACTTGTAAGTTTTGGTTTCTCACCTCAGATACCCTTACAATTCAGTAGAACAATGTGTTTTCCCCTAAGACAGTGATGGTGTGACAGCACAAGACCTGAAATTCAATGATTTATCATGGCCATTACCTATTTATTTTTATGATATGCTGCTCACTGAGTGTTACACTGTACCTCAGACAGTGACTATCAAATAAATAGCTCTGGTGGCACTTATATTACCCCAGATGCCTGGGGATAATGTAGTTAACATTCTTTCCTTTATGAAGCAATATTCCACTGACTCCATTTTTCCGATACTATACTCGTTTGTCATTGAAACCAAGGGCAGAAATGCTTTATGCCCGTTTATGCTCTCATGCTCCATGACTTCTTTACTGTACAAAGCATTTACACATTTCAATAACAATGTCTCTTACAAATTGTTAAAATGAACGTTATGCTTATACTATCTGTGATAAACAATATGCACAGATCTGTTAATGCAAATGCAAAAAAGCTGCTGAACATTTAATTTTAACTATGGAATCATCTACTCCATTCATTTCAGTTACAAGAAAGAGAGTGGTTTATAGCAAGAGGAGATTATTTAAGTTGATTAATACTGGCCACACGGAGGCTCACTATGTACCACAGCTGCTGTCAGGGAACTGACCGCAGTGCCTCTGCAGGGACGGTTTGAACAGCACTGCGTCACAGTGTGGTCAGGACTTGCCTTATACACAAATGGATTCTTCCGGGAGTCGGTCAGTGTGTCAAATCTGGTGTAGAGGTCATTGAGAAGGTTGACAATCTTCATGGCCCCTTCGCCAGATGCATGTTTGCTACAGAAAGCGTTGAAGCCCACAATGCCACTGAAGAGGATTGTCACATTGTCATATCTCTTAGCAGGCACGGGACGCTTGTGTCTCAGCTCATTGGCGACAGATGGAGGAAGGACAGAGTATAGCAACCTGTTTAGCGGGATTAGGAAACAGCCACGGTAAGAAACGCTGGGCTAGGTTTTGTGGATCTACAGACCACTTCATAGAACATCAATGTCATTGCACTGTGAAGGCCTGGATTCTTGTAGGACAATCTCTAAAACTAGTTTCAAATATTACTCATATTTATAAGTAAAAACAAAATGTCCTCAAGAAAAGCCAAGTCAAACCAAATCAAAATCAGCCAAACACTAGACAAAACAAAAAAAGTCAAAGTTTTCATTTGTAGCTCTGCACTCTGACCCTGCCATTATGATAGTCACAGTAGGGAAGTTGTCATTACCGTTCAAGGCACCATGAATAGCATGCTTATGTCTCTAGAATAAGAAACTGATCTCAATGGTTGCAAAGTAATATTGAAAGAAGCAGATTTCTCCAATCCCATTCATGCCTCCCTCTCCTGTGGAAGAAACTGGTAAGACAGGTGGACATTGGCCTAGAGCACATTTTGTTTCTACAGTCAACATTGAGACTACGACAGCATCAGAGAACATGCTGAGGGGACAGGTAAGATAAACACAACAGAAGAAGGATCATTGCTGGTGGATTTATGCGGAGAGGAGCAGGAACCAGGGAGACGTTGGGGCTCTTGGCATGAGGGCTCAGAGGAACAAATGAAGGCTCCTCCCCTTTTCTTCTCTCTAGTGAGAGGGCACACTGTGCTAAATTCAGTGTACAACATGGAGCTGAGCTCTCCTCATTTTTCCTAGCTTTAGTGGGATTTCCCCAGTCTTTCATTTTAACTTTCAAACAGAAAATTTTATAAAATATTTTAAAGCTATATTTGAATACTAAATGTGAACAGAAGAACTACTTAGCTTTAAAGGAAATAAATAGTAAAGGGTTTATCAGTATATCACCTTGAGAAACAAATTTCTATGAAAAAAAAAACTAAACCTAAGTGTTGTTTTATTATAATAGCCAGAGCAGGATACTAGTCAAACTTACAAACCCATGTGACTTTGAACCTTAGTCCTTAGAAGTGTATTATGAGCTCCACAAAATGTGACATTTTTCATGGATAAAGTTGTACCACATACCAATAAAACATATGTTTGAGTTGCTTCTCAAGCAGTGGAAGGAGTTCAAGCTGCCTGTCCCATATACTTTCTGAAATTTTCAAAACATCTGAATAGATTAAGGAGTTTAGCAGGACTATGGGAAACATTAAGTGGTCTCAAAAAAATGAAACACAGCTTTCACCTTCATTATACAAAGGCCAAGACAGTGATTAGGGAGCTATGGATAAAGACAGGCATTGAATGGCATTCTCTACTTCATCCATGCCTCAATAAATAGTTAACTGATGCATTTAAGTGTGGGCGCAGCATTCATCCTTGGGCAACTCCACATATATCAATGCAAGAAAAGTATGGAGAGTGATGTTGTTTCCAAGATTCTGGTATTCAAGCTGAGTGAAATAGTTCTTATGAAAGTAAGACAGATCATTTCAATTCTCCAGCAAGATATCTTCTTGTTATATGTGTGTTAACATTACAATTGAACACACAAGGCCCTGGGTAAAATATCTTGTGAACATCAGTGACTTAGTGCTTTTAATGAATATAGCAAGCAAGTCTAAGTAGTATGCATGATGTGTATTTGTTTAAGTGAATTATTTGAAAATGAACTATTACTTTAATGTCACTTGCCCAATATTTCCTAATTTAATCTACCATTCATAGAAAAATAATAATAGCTTTATATTTTGATTTTTTTGTTAATGTTTGTCTTCACAGATAGAATTGTTGTCATTACAAGATAACATTAAATCTGTCAGATTCCTATCAGCCAAGTTTTAAAACAATTCAGTCCAAGAAAAGTAATCTTTTAAAAGATAATGGCCAATAAGTCAGTGCTTAGTGTAACCCTCAGAACTTAGCCCCTGACACATCAAGGATGTGCTGAACATATTTCTTCTATAAAGAAATGAATGGATAGTTGGATTTTATGCATTTGAATTATTCTAATGATTATCAGAGAAATGTATTGGCATTTATTCTTCCAGCTTAGTTTGTAAAGCTAGGAAACATATGCCCACCACCACTAAGACTGATTTATCTCTGTGTATACAGTTTCATCCTAAGTGACATGGAAGAATGTATTTACTTCTCCAAAGCTCCAATGGCCTCCCTGCCTTTCTAGTGTGAGCATTAATCTTTACCACAGTAAAGTCACAATCCACGGTGCCTAACAGCTGTGCCCTTCTTTACACACAAGGTTACAGACTTACGTGTCTGTCTTTTTCTTTTCATCTTCCAGGGCTCTTAACGTGAGCTGCAGCCTGTCTGTTAGGATTTCCAGTTCCTGAGTCAGTTTGTATTCCTCTCTGAACTGTTCTCCCAAAAGAACAAGATCACGTGTGGCATCGTGCAGAGGGATGTCACTCAGATACAGACCTCTCCTGGTCAAATCATCCAGATTCATCACACTGTTATACAGGGAAAGGAGGCAAAGGCATTCTCCGTCATCACATGACAATACCAACCGTGATTACTGTCAGCGAGTATCACCCTGCCATCTCCTAGCATTCTAACGCTGCTCGGGCTAAAGAAGGAAAACATCAGAGAATCATGCCAAGAATAAGACTTCAGTCTTCTAGAGAGCTCAAAATCTACCAAAGAACAATGAACTTGAAATGGATGGTGCCCAAATTGCACTTTTTGATGCTATCAGCCTAAACTGGAAGATAATGGCAAAAAATGCCCTATGAAACCTGCTCAGTTACTTAGCACAAGGCTGTGATTTATTATTACACATTTTTATTGTTACCAAGAGATGAAAAACAATTTATCTTTACCCTTTTTAGCAGGGATATTGTGCTTCTTTTGAGAAACTAGCTCATTTCTTCCTTTGGGAGCCTGTGACTCTTACAACTGATTGCTTTTCCATTTTAAATATGATGATTAAAAGTTTACAACCAGATGAATGACTCGTCTTCAACGAGTATTCCATGTGTGTATGACTTTCTGAGATGCATTTTATATGCTACTCTTACTTCTGATTTTAATTTCTTCTACTCTTATTTTCTTTGACTAATTTTTCTCATTTATTTGCAATAGCTTTTAAATTTGCTGTGTCTTTGCAACTTAAGTTATTTTTAGGACGATAATATTTATTGATTCAGTGAAGATCTGGTAAGTGAAAAGCAGCTTTTTAAAAATTTACTATTTGGTTTTAATGTCTTAAGGATATGTTATTGGTTTGAAATCTTTAAATACAAAGTAATTCTGGGCATTCATGATAATAATTTCTCTAAAATTGCATAATTGAGTAGAGATTTTACTGAAGAATTATGGATTACTAAAATGTCTCCCTATAATAGATCCTCAGCATAAATATCCATAAGTCAAAGCAAAAATTAGCATTCCAATTTAGAAACAAAAAATGATCAAATAGTTTACTAGTGAAGCACTTGGTCTCTTTAGATTTTGTTAGAATGGATATGTAAGTTAAAGCTCACTTGCAGAAATAAACCCTTCTGGAGAGAGAGCAGATTATCTGCTAAAAACTATAAAACATCTGCCCATAAGCAAGGGAAAAATATTATAAGATTAAAATAAAAATACTGAGTTATAAAATGTAATCAAATTGTGTCTTTTTAAATATTTATTTTAATACACTATAAACATTGTTTCTAAATTTGAATTAACCATCTTAAAATTATTTATTTTAGAAGTAAAACTGCCCTTAGTTGACTTTTCTTATAAAAAAGTTGACTATATAAGTTGTAAACTCAAATTACACTTCAGAATAACTGCAGATTAGCCATAGGATGATCTAGTGGCATAAACATTCAGCAAATTAAGACATGGTAAATAAAATAGAATACATGATTTCTTCTGAATTTATTACAAATGTTAACTGACATTATCTTTGTCATAGAGAGGTATACTAATAAGAGTTGTAAAATCTAATTCCACTTCAAAATATGTAGACGTGATGAGTAGGAACATGTTATTAAATTCCTTTGGTAGTTAAAGATGGGTACTTATATCCATTATAATTGTATTACCTTGGCGAACACAGAAAAAGTATGCTATCTGCTTCAGGTAAGTAGATCATTTGACCCTTGAGACGTAAGCAGCTGATCTCAGTCCCAGTCAGTTCATCCTCACATTCTAATTTCTCCACATCCAACAGTCCTTCCTGGAGAAGGCAAGACATAACCATTAACTTTCTCCCTGCCTCGCAATTCATCACAAAAAAGGACACACAAACCTCATTCCCCACCAAACCACAAGGGAGAGTAAGTGCACCGATTTGAGGAGGGGAGGGCATTCCACCAGAGTTCTGCCAAGGCATAAGCGTAGTGGCTCCCTTACAAACACAGCAAACAAGCGAATTGACTGTCTCTTGAAACTCAGAGAGTCAGTAGCTGTACTACTGTTCACAGGTTTATTTAAAGTTTCTAAGATTAGTTCTGATTTTCCATTACAGTTATAAGATACAATACCAGGTCTTAGCAAAGAATAAACCAAGCCTCTCCACTCCCCACCCCTGTGTTCACAGAGAAACTGGAAATACTTCCAAACACATAAAGTGTGTGTACGTAGAACTTTTGGGAGGGGTGTAGGAAGGGTGAAGCGTGCACTTGAAGACATCTTTCCTCTGCCAGGCCCAAAGACAGAAACTGTGAGAGCTGTTATCAATTATTAACTGAATGAATACTTTACCACTCTTTTTTCCTTGCAAAAAAACGGAACCATGCAGAAGAGACACCTTAAGGAAGTGGATGAGGTTTTTATTTTAAAAATCTTTATTAGCTTTTCTGACTCTCAAATAGGACATTGTAGCTATACAGGAAGTAAAAGATAGAAAGTGGGTTGTCCTAGCAAGGCATTCTCCACATTTACTTTTATTAATTCTGATCAGATGACAGAGTCCCATTGATTCTTAGGCAAAGCAAAAATCAATAACATTGCCTTTGAAACAGGACTCCCTTTCAGGTTTGCTTTTGATCTCACTATACCTATTCTGTCTTGTAGAATGACATAGCTGCTACTTTTCCCTCCAGAACATTTCTAGTATGTAATACATCTTACTTACTCACATTTAATAAATAATATCTTAATTACCTTGCTTCTCAATACAAAAACCGTATTGATGTGTGAAAGGATCCCATGGAAACTAATGTCAATGTGAGGACGGACCAGAGAGAAGACAGACAAAAGGCTGCAATTGCCAGGTTGGAGCTAAAATGTAGATACAAAGGAAAGAACACAATTATTTAAAACAATTTTATTTCATGTTAGGTTAAATTTTTATTTGATATCAGCTCTCAATTATATATAAGTACAGAAATACATTAATCTGTGAGAAAGTTTACTCAGCTATGGACTCGTATTTTGACCTGTGCAACTCTGATTAAATGGACATCAAATAGTTTCATGAATATAAAACCTCACATGGATTCAGATGACTGGGATTCAAATATAAGCTATTAGAAATAAAAGAAGCATTTTCAAAGTATAAAAAAGTAGAAATTTATCTCTTAAAATGTAGCATGAGGTGTTAAGTGCCAATGGCTTAAAATGACGTTTAAATATCAAGAGCACTGGCAAACACAGTTTATCAAGAGATGTTAATAATAATAATAATAATAATAATAACAACAGTTACTGATTGCTCATAATGGATAAGCGGTTCAACTAAGTGTTCTTCTTTTGCTCTCTCTGTTCATGCTGTAACAAAGGGAAAACTGGCAGAGAAAGGCCAAGTTACACACTTCATGTCACACTATGAGGGAAAGGCAAAACCAGCATAAGAGCCCAGGCTTCCAGATCTATAGGTTTATGCCTGATCCCATTTAGGTTAATCCCAAATTATCAAGTCTCTTTAACTACAAGCAAAACATATCTCTAGACACACGTCATGTACAACTCTAAAAACTGGTAGAATAGAAAGGAGTAACTTTACAAATGGATCGGAATAATGCAAACTGAATGTAGACTTGAATCATTGTCCTTTGATGCTTTTTCTACTAATTCCTATGTTAATAATCTCTGTCATTTTCCTCTTTAGTGTTTTTGAAATTCTCCCTTTTCCCTGCAAATATCCAAGGTTGATTTGAAAGCTATTTTCAAATTGTATATAGCCAATGAATATGTATTCAAGGAATAAAATAGGTGAAAATTGGTTGTTACTAGAAAGGTACCCATTTTCTCATTTTAAAAGGATCCTCACTATCCCTGTTATTAAGAAAAAAATATATATACCTGTTGTAGGGAAAGTACCATTATGGTTAAACACTCTAGCTCATATTTAAACAACTTATATCATATACAATGTGCTAACCATCAACTAATACACAGTAAAAAGGTTAAATAAATGAATGGTCACAGGTAACAATAGCACCTTTACGGCCCTTTGTCTAGGCCCCAAGGAAGCATGATGTCATTTACCTGGGGAAGCACTCTGTATATGGCATTGCCACACTGAGTGACCACTAGGTCCCGGTCAAATATTATGTGAAAAGGAAAAGCTTTGCAGAAGGTATAGGGGCTGATGCGTGATTCCTGGGTACCATTTTCTTCAAATCTGTCAAGATCTTCATAAAAATCCTCTTCTTTAGATTCTTTTTCTTCAATTAAAAATTGAGTATGATCACATTCTTCATTTCTTTGCTGAATAACCTGGATGTCAAAGGGGTAAATGGTGTTAATGGTCTGCATTTCAATTTATGTAAAAGGACCTAAATGCCTAAGAAACTGGTTTGGAAAATTGCATTTAGAGGGCTAATATTAAAATTTTAATATATGCAAATACTACAAATGCTTAAAATAAAAGAACAATTGTTGTGTTAATACCTTGGAATTATCACTTAAAACTAACAGTCTGTATTATCAACCTTTTTAAAGTTTGAGATCTGGCTTCTTTCACCAAGTAATCTAATTTTTTTTAAAAAACAAAGTTTTTAGTTCCCAATATGAGGTATTCCAATGATATTTCAGAGACAGACAAAATCCCCCAAAAGAAAAAAACAATGAACAGTAAAGTAATATCTAATTTTATATTTTAGAATTTATCCATTTAATGCATTTTGTATTTTCAAGGGTACAGCTTAGCCAGTTGCATATCCTCCTGCTTTCCAGCCAGTATGTTCTCACAGAGAATGCAAACTAAATGTCATGTGACCTTAAGCAATGTATAAAAAGAAAAATCTGCTACTGCAAGGAAAAAAGTAGCCTGTATTCCTTTAGATCCTTGCATTCCAAAGCCAAATATAGATTTCTGCAGTTGCCACTGCTATGGTTTATGTATGTCTCTGGTGAGGTCCACTAGCTGCAATAATTAAATGTAAATTCACTGAGTGTCATTTTTAATTTTCTATGGTTTAGAAGTGTCTCCATGACTGATCATTACCTTCATGTCAATTTCTGTGCCATGTATTTGCTGAGCTACCGTTTTAATGATTCCGATGACAATATCCTGAAGTCCTTCTCTCTCTGAGTAGTAGTGCAGAATGAGGCCTTTGCCCTTCTCTGCATCAGTGCACCTGAAGGAGGGTGCACGCATACCTGGGTAGATAGTAGCCAGGTGGTCATGCAGAGCATCTAGGTTCTGCAATAGAAGGGAAATGGTGATGAATAAATAATGCTTCCACATGACATGACTTCAAGAAAGCGAGATAATGACAGAAGGCTCAATCTGAGCTTAGTGAACAGATCAGCTGAGTAAACACTCACATAGCACATCCTTCCCTTGCCTCCCTGAGAGGCATCTGTAAAGCAAGAACCACAGAGAACTTGAAACCCTAGTAGAGTAATCAAGAAAAACATCTGTGGCTATTAACAGTTAATACATGTTAAGAAATACTAAATGACCAGTGATAATAAATAGTAAATAAAGAGAATTCCATGAAGCAGAAAAAAGAAGTAGTTATGGGCTAAAGCAAAGATAAACATATCTATAGAAGTTTGTGGCAGCTGTATATGTATGACAGTCATTTCACGGTAACATAATAGGTACTTTATCCAATTTTTCTAAGACTTCACTTCTGATAAAATCATGGTAACTAAAATGATGTACGTGAAACACTTAGTATATCCCAGGTGCAGTAAGCAAAATAATTTCCATGCCCCAATTCTTTTGAATACGATATCTCACATTTCACATGGCAAAAAGTATTTTGCAGATGGTGTTGAGGTAATGGATCTTGAGTTGGGAGGAGTGTTCTGGATGACTCTGGTGCCCCAAGCTAACCACATGAATGATGACTGAGTCCTTAAGAGCTAAGACTTCCTGGTTACAGGGAGAGAGAAGTACAATGACAGAAGGGCAAAGAGATGGTCAGAGAGATGGTAGCATGAAAAGGAAATGATACTTTGCTCTAGGTTCTGAGATGTAGGAGACTTGTGTGCAAGGATGGAGAGAGGCCTCCAGGACCTTAGGGCAGCCCGAGCTGATGGCCAGCGAAGAAACTGGATCTTCAGCCCTATAACACATCAAACTGAGCAAGGAAACAATTATGCCCTAGATCCTATGTAAAGAAACACAGCCCTACTGGCACTTTGATTACAGTCCAGTGAGACCTGTTATGGACTTCCAACCTACAAAACTGTAGGATAATAGGTTTCTGTTCTTTTAAGCACTTATATTTGTGATAGCAATAAAAAAACTAATACAGTAAGCAAATAGTGACCTACCAATAATTGGTGACTATGGATAAAGAGAATGTGAAAAACAAAATAATTTCAGAATGCCATGGGCCTAAAAGAGTGTCTCTAAAAAGAAGGTGCTAGAGATGAGCCAACATTGAACTGTGGTTCTTGTTCCAAATGTCTCAAAGAGGCCAATTTAGAGAAACAGAAATATCCACTAAGAAGCCAGGAAGAAAATGGAGTGAATATGAGGCCTCTCCATGGGGCCTAGATTTGTGAAATTCTCCCCCAGGTCACCTATGGCACTGTGGTTTAATTTCCTGTCTCCTCCATTCAAGCATTCACTCATTCTATAAAGTTATCCCATGCCCATTGTGAAACATGCCCCTACGTGGTGTAGGCTAGGGCCAGGGTAGAAGGTTGGATATGAATCTGCATGACAAGGACCCTGACTTTAAGCAGCTCATAGTTTATTCCACAAACAGATGTGCTGGATGGCTTCTGATGCACAAATAAAGGACCCAACAACTCAGACTGGAAGAAAGGGATCTGAAAATTTCAAAATAAAGATGAGGCCTGAGTTAGGTCATAAAGGTTGACATTCTTCTGATTTGAACACATGATTTAATGGTCTCCTCAACTGGGTTAATCATGCAATGGCCTTTATGCAAAGTGCTTTTAATTTTCTTCCCCTAAACAATATCTGTTATAATCAACTCAGTCCATTTCTTAATAGAAACATCAATTCATCCTCCTTGCCTCTAGAGGCTGCTATTGGCATGTAAAAGGAATCCAACATGGCGGATACTAAGAACTGGAAGTTTATGTGTGTGTGTGTGTGTGTGTGTGTAGTTTATATATATATATATATATATATATATATATATATATATAGTTATATATAGTTATATATAGTTATATATAGTTATATATAGTTATATATATAGTTATATATAGTTATATATAGTTTATATATATAGTATATATATAGTATATACTATAGTATACTAGTATACTATATACTAGTGTGTGTGTGTGTGTGTGTGTGTGTGTGTGTGTAATATACATAGTACAAGTCCCAAAACAATTTTTCTTGGTTGAGTAGTACGAAGGGTTCTTTCTACGACAAGTTTTTCTCAGAGGAATTCTTTTCTGAGAAGGGAAGATGTGAAGACTGATCTTCATAACCCTCCCAGATCCCTTACCCTTTTGCTGATGTTGCAAAAATATTATGAGAAAAAATCAGGTGAAAAAAAAATGACCAAAAGAATTTTATACTTATTTCCATTTGCCACAAAGTCGAAATTGAGGCTGCTGCCACATTTAGGTAACTACCTAGTATCGTCAGGCCCAGCTACTGTGCTGTGGCTCATTTTAAAGAAAAAAAATGAGTCAATAATTTGAAATATGTATTTGAATATTAATTTTAAATTTCTTCTACTAAGTACTTAAATATAAGTCAAAATGTCTGTATCACTTTCATACTCATCTATTTTCATGTTGTGTCATATTATATTAGCACATTTCTTCACCATAGGTCACAAAGAGATAAGGCACTTCCACCCTAAATGCTGAGCAGTTTTAATTTAAATAAAGGTACTAATGTTGCTAATAATATGTTGCTTAAATGTATCACTTCAAAACAAGCAAGAAAGCGAAATATTTGAAGTCAGAATGTGTCATCTTTTGTCTTTGTGGTAACCAACTCTCCAGAGATTTACTGTTTTATTGAATTTACTATTAATTACATGGACAAGTAAAATGCTTTCCTGCAGCATGAAAGCTACACCACTTAATGTAGTATTGATTTTCTTTAGATAGTGTCTAACATAAAAATACTCTCAGGATTTCTTAAGTTACAGCTTTCCTGACTTGGTTTTACTCTTGCAAAATCAAAGTGATTACCGCAGGCTGTCTATTGTGAGAAATGGAGTTTGCAATTAAAAATTAAATTATTTTTATTTGTGTACATTTATATTGCTAAAAATATGCCTTCTTTGTAGTTAGACTATAATCACTTGTAGCCACATCAAAGGTCACAAAAAAGATTGTCAAAATAGCCAAGAGAAAATCTTGACTACATTTCATCATACTATCTACATGAAGCTAATTTTTCACCCATAAGTCTATAGCAATGTATTCAGGAAAACAAGAGTTATATATTAAAACTGGTATTCTCTTTACTTCTAAATGTACCCATGGAAGCAGGTATACAAAGTATATACGTTACAAAGCAGGGAAACACAGGGATGAACATAGGGGGAAAAAGTAAATGCATATATTCCAGCACAAGTAGATTCCCAAGAATCCATAAAGAAAACCTCAAACATGCTTTCCCTTCATTCTTCTCACCTTCATCAAATTTGGAAGCAGGAAAGGGATAGTGAGCAGGTCCACTATCTACTTTGCCTCAAGATGCCAAAAAGTTACTCTGAGGTTTTCATTCCATTTTGTAATGTTCTGATACAACTTCACTGGTTTTTCTACACGCAAAATGAATGCATTTTTTTCTCAGGAGTCCTAAGACCCATAAGCCCAGTTAGCTCATCCTGTCACCTAGCACTCATCATTTACAGAAAAAAAGTCGTGCTGGCATCCTGGGAAGCTGTACTGGAGTTCTCAATTTAGCATACTCCACAGATTTAGGAAGCCGAAGAGAATTTATTACTCTCTGAAAAACACACTGAAGTTTTATATTTTTAAATATCTTGGAATGATTTTAAATAAATGCAAATTTTCTTTGCAATATACATGCCAAAATGAGCTCATGCATAATTAACTGAGGCAAAATTTCTAGAAGTTCGCTACTTCCTTTTCCTGCTTCCAGGGCATTTAATTAAAAATCCCTAAAGGATTCATACACGTGGGTGGAGATAAGTTCTGAGACAAAGAGATGTTTCAGTCTCTTAAAATCCTATCTGAGAAGATGGGGAAAAGGAAGTTATGTCATTTGAGAACATTACTGAGTTTCAGATCTGGAAGTAATCTTAAAAATCAGCCATTGCAAACCTCTTTTTTAAGGAAAGAGAAGGAGGCACATTTCTTTTCTTAAACAAGTCAAGCTTTTAAACTCATGTTTTTAAAAAGTCCCACTTACATAATACTATATTTGGCAATCAATATATTGTAAAATTGTGAAAATATATACCAGTTATCTGAAAAGAAAGATGTTACAATTCTAAAATACTTATTTTCTTTAAAAGTCCTCACTTGTCAACTTTAAAACTGTAGGTTACAGAAATTGACATTTTGGATGTTGAGAAAGCAGGTCCTTTGGAAATTAAAAAGTTAAAAATGAAATGAGTGGTGCATTTTTTTCTAAGGAATATGACAAATAATTTTGGGAAGTATTAGAATTTCACAGCTGTTCAGGAAAATCCTCACATTTCCCAAAATAACACTTAACACAAACATTTAAGGATTTTAGATCTGTCATCAATCCCAGAATGCTCATGAGGGTGGGGGGCTGGCCAAACCACAGTGTTGTGATTTGGGGGCCAGAAGCTTGACCCGCTGTGAACTGGAGATCCCAGGGCAGGCAGAACAGAGGCTCTGCCAGAGGATCTCCCACGTACATGAACTGAGGGAATGAGGCAAACTGCCACCACTCCAAACGCCAACGTTTCCCGCAAGCTATGAAAGAATATTTGCAATATTATTCAACTGAGATTCCTATGCATATTTAAACAGGCCCATCGTTTAAATCCTGACTCATCTCCAAGATTGTATGCTGCTCATTTATCTTTCCACAGTCAACCTTCGATGCTCATTTTAATTTCATTTTACCTCAGTAAAATCATTGGGGAGGTAAAGAATATATAATGTGATAACCACGGAAGGCCACTAAAAATTAATTGGCAACCCTGCTGGGGATTGACATGGATTACAGTCCCAGAGGTCCCATATTATCAAACATGACTGATGTTCAAAGCTCCTGAGTCAAGGAAATTAGTCTAGTGCTTGGCTGTCTATTCCTCTTTATTCAATCTATGGTTCATCTGTAAATAAAGTTATAAAGTTTCACTGAAAAGGGTTGTTTGTTATTCTTAATAAAACAGTTGATCTTGAGCTATTGGTGTATTTGCTTCCTGTATTTACACAAAGGGCAAATCTTCATTTAAAGAAAAAAAGATATTCATTCATTCCCAGATATACAGATTGTATCTGTGAAGATACCATCATTAAGAGATTATACATGGTCTCCGGCTTCCTGAAGTTTACATTCCAGCCCAACAAACAGGAAACGATAAGCAGTGGCAGACAACTATGCCTGGGAAAACAAATGTGCTAGGAAAGCATGAGAAATAAATGTCAATGACCCTAACTGACTGAGCATAGAGACTGAAGAGAGGAGTGAAGTCTTTCCGGAAGAAGTAATTTGACCAGTAGGGTGAACAGAATTTATCTAGGCAAAAAGGAGCATGAACAGTATTTCAGACAAAGGAAAGAGCAGATGCAAAAGCTCAGCAGATAGTACATTTTTTTTTTAAGTTCTGTTTGGCTGGGCTAGGAGAAAGGAAGAAGCAGAATGGATAGGGAACGTAAGTAGTTTCAGTCGTTTTAACTATTTTTGACATTTCCTAGTGAACAGTGTGGAATCCCTGAAGGGTTTAAAGCAAAAACTAAAAAAATTAAAATATTAATAAATGAATGTGTGTGTGTAAATATGATGATAATATATATTTGCATTTCGGAAAAATCACTAGTCACAGAATGGAGAAGAGATTGGGGGAGTCACGAGACAGACACAGACAGGGAGATTATCCAATATCTAGATAATGGTAAACTCTCCAGGGAAGAGTAGGGGAGGGGAAGGAAGGAAAGTGACAGAGCACTCAAAATTCAGCCACTCGTGGCGGGTGGCCATCCTATTCGACTAGCATAACTCTCAACACAGAGAAACACCCAGAGGCTGCCTGATTGCTTACTGCATGATTACAAACTTAGCAGCTGGTCACAATGAGACGAAGTAAAACAAAAACAATTTGCAAAAATATTTGAATATTTGTTTTGTTATGTAAATGTGGCTATTGAGAGAAAGAGAAAACTAAGACAGAAAATGCAAGTTCAAATGTTGTTGATAAGGTGACAGCATTAAAAAATGGAATATGTATTTAAAATTCTAAAGTCTCAAAATACTTTTAAAGGTCTAACTTTAATCCATTTAACATAATTAATTTAAATACAGTTAAAGTTTAATTTACATATCTCCTGACAGCTGCTTCATTTGGAAGTGGCAGCTCTTTTAGACACCAGTAGTTTGGTAAATCCATGGCAGGGGATTGCAAACCAGTTTCCATCTTGATTTAATGCTGTCTTAAGTTTATAAGAAAAATGTCACTGTGTAAACAACAGACATTTTGATTAAACACTCAAGTTCTTATTTTGGCTGTTAAATCAATAATGCAGCTGGACTGAAAGTCGTTTACATTCCCTCAAAACTGGGCTCTGGTTCAGCTGGTATTGCACTGACATCATTTTCCAGCGCGATCTGGCGGCTCTGAGCTGCCAGTTTGGAAATATTCTTTACAACCACAATATTTTCAACTGGTAACACATTTCAAGAAGAAGATCTCACCAATGGCCTGGGCTTAAAATAGGACAGACAATCCAAAAATAGCCTTTCATCTAATGTGTAGTTTACTAGTACAAAACGTTTAAGGTAATTAACATGAATCTAAGACAAAGGCCTTTGGTGCTATTAGTTATCTTTCCCTTCACCCGAAACTGCCTTTGCAAGGTCTCTTATTGTCCTTTCTATAGTAGGTCAACTAATATGTAACTTGGAGTAATGGTTCTCAAATTTGTTTTGGTAGCACAGCACCTGAAAGCCAGGGTGATTTTTCCTAAACAACAAGCTCCATGTAGAACGTCATAGATACTGACATACTATCTAACGAAGCTATACAAACTAGGAATACCTCCCCCCCAAAAAATAATGATAAAACTGCATTGTAGAGCCACAATGTAAAACCACAACTGGTAGCAAATACTAGTTAATACTATTTAAATACTATTTAAAAAAAAGGCAGTGGAATAACCTGAATAGGCCATGATAAGTTTTTCCAAGAATATTAATTCAAAGTCTGCATATTTACTGTCAGTGACCACAAGGTAAAGAAAAATTATGAAGCAAAAATGTAAAAGTGTATTCGAGATCTTCTAATGACTATTATTGTATGTAAATTAAGAAGAACGTCACCATGATTCCATATCAGCAGCAAGACACGCACATCCTCCTGGCTGAACAAAAAGGATGCCAGGCAGAGCCTAGGTTCAAGAATCACGAATTCAGAGCTCTCAACAGCAAGACCTCAACCTGCTTACCTGCAGAAATTCTCTGACATTAGATCCCAGGACACGCAAGATCGTATCGTAACCAGATTCTTGACAAAAGACAAAAAACATCTTCCCAAACATTTGGAGGATTTCTCCAGCATTGAGATCTATTTTATAGGTTGAGAGAATAACAAAAACAGACCATGTTATAGGTAGAATATTATTAATGGGAAGAATGAAGATACATGCATAATAAAAAATTAAATATCCTCAATTTTTGTGCATAGTGAATATACATCTTACGAACAATTTCTGGCCAGGGCAATACAATGAAATCTGAGAAGACAACATATTACCATGTTAACAGCGTAGATTTGTACTTAATAGCAAAGTAGTCAGTTTATCACCTTCCATGAAAAACTAGTCAATTAATTTTGAGCTTTTTAAAAATGTGTATTTAATGTACAACTTATTTTTTCTGGAAAATACAGGAAAATTTTGAAAATCATCCATGATGCACCTGATAATATTTTGGTGCAAAATGATTATTCTTTACCTAAGTATACATATTAATAAGTCAGATGCATATACTATATACCCTAATATCCTGCATTTTTGTTTATATCCAATTATGATTATTTCTTAACACTTTAAGATTGTTTTTGTAAAATTTATTTTAGTCACTATCTCACTTAACACAGAGATGCAACAATTTAATCAATTCCCTTATTAAAAATATAGGCTTTTCCAATTTTTTTAACCACTCAGATTGCGTTCTCTGCCTCTTACTCTTCCAAAGGAAGAGAAGAACAATCATCAATGGCTATTGGCTGCTGCAAAAGAAACACCAAAAGCTGACTTCACGCTAAGGCTTTTCCAATTTTTGATAATATAAGTGACTTTGAAGTGAAAGCACACATAAACCTTAATGAAAATGAATCTAATAATTTCTTCTGTTTTAAGATTTTATTTATTTTTAGAGAGAAGGGAAGGGAGGGAGAAAAAGATGAAGAGAAATATCAATGTGGTTGCCTCTTGCAGGCCCCTCCTGGGGACCTGGTCCTCAACCCAGGCATGTGCCCTGACTGGGAATTGAACCTGAGACCCTTTGGTTCACAGGCAGGTGCTCAGTCCACTAAACCACACCAGCCAGGGCTAACTCTAATAATTTCTTTAGGAAATATTCCTAAAAGATTTGAACATTTTTTTAAAAAAGTGTATGATTTCATTTTAAACTCTGTCCTCAACCACACTAGATATTTAATTTTTAAAAACTGACAAGTGTATATGAAAAATATTTCCCATTTGTTTCCATTTTGATTACTAATGAGATTTTATCTTTTCCTTGTCACTGGTAACAATTTATCATTTTTTCTAATTCCTTCATTCTGCAGTAGGTAGTATTTGCTCTTCTTGTTATATTTGGCAATGTTAAAAAACTTCTTTCTACTGTATCCATACTGTATTCTGGTTACGAATTAAGCACTCTGAGCAGGAGACAGTACTTTTTCCATGAAGGTTTCTCTTTCAATTTTGCCTTCTTTGCATGAGTTCTGTCTGATATAGACAGAACTGTTTCCTGTTTCTTTTACCAATAGCTAACAAAACATGTCATTACAAAAGAGATTTGGGAATATTATCTTTTGCACACTAAACTTGTGTAATTACTGTGCTATTGATATCATAGCATAAGTTCTTACATTATTAACTTATTACATTAAGAATCAATATTTTTTTTTCTTCCCCAACACATGGTTTTTTGTGGGGAGGGTACAGGGCAGAGAGCTCCTCTAGTTCCTGAAGAGTTTGCAAAAGGAAAAATAGGACTCAGCATAGCCTGAGCCTAACATTACGTGTAAACGTCTTCCCCACCAGGGCTGGGCAATGTACAACCTGCATAATTATACAATGTAATTTTGGACTGTACATTCCTTTGGACTTCTGTGTGTAACTTAGCCAAAGAAGGGAAGTCATAGTCAACTTACTGAGGACTTTGCTTGCAGCAGCAACCAAATCGTAAGTTTTAGAATCATCATATATTATTCTGACAAGAAACTGCCCTTCTTCATCTAACTGTGCCTCTTTTCTGGAAAACAAAAATGAGAAAGAGAGATGGAAAAGTTGGAATAAGAGAACAAGTTCTATAGTTACCATGATTGTATAAACAATGGTTTTAGATCTAAAACATAATTTGTTTTTGGCCAATTTGTTTAAATCAATGTGTTGTGCTTAAAAGTCTAATGATGGAGAGGAAATGATGTCACATTCCCTTCCCCAAATTAAAATGATACAGGTAAGTTAATTTTAGCAGGGCTAACTTTTATAAAGTACTTTCACACCCAGTACAGCATCAAATATTAAATATAATCAAGAACTAACTTTTGGTTTGATAAACAGTTAACAAATACTCTATGTTTAGTCCCTATACATGCCAGGCATTGTTCTAGACTGTGGGAACACATATTCAGTAACACAAACAAAAGTACCTGACCTCTTGGAACATACGTATTCCAGGAGGGGAGACAAAAGAGACATGAAACTAATTAGTAACACATATAATGGTAAGTTGCACGGAGAAAAGCAAAGCCGGGTAGTTCAAGTTCAATAGCTGGAAGCCTCACTGAGTAGCTGGTCATTAAGTGGAGTCTGAAGTTGCTCTAGGAGGAGCCATGAGCCATCTAGGGAAGCGTGTTCTGGGCAGAGGGAAGAGCATGTGCCAAGGGCTAGATGAAGTAGCTTGGGAAGGCAGAGGAATAGCAGAGGCCAGAGTGGCTGGAACAGAGGTTAGGCAGAGTAGCTGTAAGAGGACAGATCAGAGAGGTAACCTGGGGTTGGAGGTTGGAATGACTCTGTCATTTACTTGAAAGAGATGGAGGGTCCTAGTACTTGTGATGGGAGCACCAAGACTAACCAGCAGACCTGGTTAAAAGGGTCAGTCCTGCTATAGCATAGAGAATGGGCCAAAGGGTCTAGGACAGAGCAAGAAGCCCTCTTAAGATCCTATTGCCAAGGGTGACACTGACGTTTGGGTCTGAGAACCTGGATAGATGTCGTCACCAGTAGCTAAATTGGGAAAGACTGTTGGAGGTGGATGGGGCTAAGATCAAGAGCTGTGTTTTAAACATATTGAAGTTTGAGTGTCAGGTGGGCAGATAATATCTTCTAACATATCCTTAGCTTATTAAATAAAGTTGCTCAAAATAGATACAATATTAATAAAAAATTATTAGAGTCATTTTTAATAGTTGTCATGATTATACACATATATTAATTTTGATAGGATTTGGGTTATTTTTTTCAAGTGTCCAAAAAGGGAGGAAAATCCATTGTCCAAAATATTGCTGGTTATAGAAGAAAAATGACAAGTTTCCAGGTCTCTTTTCCAATGTTAAATTCACAAAAATATGTGCAACTTGGACATCAATCTCTAACCCTCAATTTAATTCTTCTAAATTCTATACCCTGCCAGGAAAGAGAAACTAGTTACTATTCTTAAGTAAATTTTCAACCCAGTGGCCTGAAATAGCTCCTTCAAGGCTTGCAAGGCTGGCCACATGGAGCCTGAGCCACTTTCCCTCCCTCGGGAGCTATGATAGCAGAGCTGCTGCTCCTGGCTCTGGTGCCACTGTCTGTTCAAGGGAACGATTCCAAACAGTGGCATGTCTTAGCTCAGGTGGGGTGGAGATAGTCTTTAAAAACCCGGTGCTCCTCAGAGCATACCATTTGTTTGCAATTATGTATAACAGTGCATGTGGTAGGGGGGCATAATTTGGTAGGCACAGAAATTTGAATTTCAGAGCCCACAATCCAAATGAACTTGGCCAAATCACGTAAAGCACCTGAGCAATAAAACCTTTCTTTTCTAAAATTGGAAAAATAATATAACCCACCTTCCACAACTTTAAAAAGATAAAGTATGCAGAAGGATGTTCTAAGCAGTTGAAACATTATACATACATTGCTAATCACCATAATACCTCCCATGTTTACCTAATCAAAAATTGAGCTATCGAAAAGATGTGAAATTCTTCTCCCTTTGGCTGAACATACACAGCTATTAAATGAAAGGAACACATCTTCAATGCCTCAAGTCTTTTTTATGCTCAAAGTCAGTGAAATATTCCTAAATTATGACAATATAATCTACAAATACTGACATATCTTTCAATAAATGCTATTATATATCTTATGCATTCTAATTTCTATTTGTACAAAAATATAAAACACAGATGCCCCTTGACTTATGATGTGGCTATGTCCCAATAAACTTCCCATAAGTTGGAAATAGAAGTCAAAAATAAAGTAAGTCAAAAATGCATTTAATATACCTAACCTAGCCTACCTTGAATGTGCTCAGAGTACTTACATTAGCCTACAGTTGGACAAAACACCTGACACAGAACCTGTTTTCTAATGAAGCATTGATAGCTCATGTAATTTGTGAACTACAGTATGTAAAAAGTGCTGGCAACACAAGACACTGCAGTGCCAGTTGTTCACCCTCGTCCATGGCGCAGCTGGCAGGAGCTCACTGCCACCACCCAGCCTCATGCAAGAGCATTGTACTGCCCATCACTCGCCCCAGGAAAGGGTAAAAATTCTAAAGTTGGAATATGGTTGCACTGAATGCATATTGCTTTCCCACCATTCCAAAGTCAAAAAATCTTAAGTCAAGTCAAAGCATAGTAAGTCAGGGACCATTTGTATGATAAAGAAAAAGCTTTAAAAATCCTCCACTATTTTGAGATAAAAGCTGCTAATATTATATTCAAGTTGTTCATGTGTGAATACACTTGTATAAACAACACACATGAGATTATACTACTTTAAAACCTCCTTTTCGACTTTTTATTTGATGGACATCTCTTCATGTTATTAAATATATTTCAATACCTTGACTGCATAAAACTACATTCTATAGACATACTACATTCTGTGGACCTGGGTTGCAGGCCAGGTCCCCAGTGGGATGCATGAGAGGCAACCACGCATTGATGTTTCTCTCCCTCTCTTTCTCCCTCCCTTCCACTCTCTAAAAACAAATAAATAAAATCCTTAAAAAATATTTCTGCATAAAATAGAATAAGTGCCTGGGAATGGAATTGTTGATTTGAAGAATATGGATAGCCTAATTTTTCTCATTTTGTCACTGACATTTTATTATGGAAAAGCACTGTTCTACAGATTGACATTTTGAAGTTTCTGATTTAGGGCATTCTCATAAAATTTAATTAAATATATATTAAAGTACAAATTAGTTCATGCTCTCACTGTGCCCTATTCTGTTTCCTCCAGTTGGGATAAATCACATGGCATATATTTCCATAATAAACTCAGTTTCTCGGAAACACCAATCCATTACAACCATTAACTGAATGAAATACAAATAGATGGCAAAGTTCCTCTAAATAAAACAGAGGGATGGCCATTTCCCTAGAATGTCCCTAACCGTGAGTCAATGCATCCTTTCTTTCCTATCTTTCATTTTAATAAAATAAGCTTCCTTATCTTTCAAGCTTTACTTCCTGAACTGATCAGCCCAGCAGGATTCCTGGAGGGAGGTTGAAGTATAAATTAAACAGTAGGACATGAAGGGAAATAATCATTTCCATTAAAAACTTCACACTGAATTCCAATGAATTATTCAGAATATTTAGGATTCCTTATTTATATTTATCTTAAAAATCTTGGGGGATTTGGGGTCCCTTTTCATTCTTTCCCACCAATGCCCTCCATGCCCCACCCAGGGAAAGGAGCTTTGCTACAAACATTTGAGCAACTGTTATGCCCTAGACACTTTTCTAAGCACCTTTTAATATACCAATGAACAAAAGAGATCAATTTTCCTGCCCTCATAGAACTTATATTCTAGCTGGCAGAAACAAGCAATAAGCAATAAACATAATATATGCTCAAATTTTATAACCTATTATGAGGTGATACATGCTACAAAATGAAGTAGATCAGGATCTACTTTTAGGCTATTAGGTAAAGAAGTTGCCTGTGGAGGTGTCAAAAAAATGAGTATTCTAAAGTGGGAGAGCTTGAATACGGGCACCTTGAAAAGGAGTCTCAAAACAAGGTATGGTCTGAAGCAGAAGAGGTCAAGATACATCAAACAATTGACCTGACCAATGATAGCTCAAAGGGGTCCTGATCCCATAAAACCCATTATCACAGCACCTGCCATACAATAGACAATATATAGGTGTGGTCTTGTCAGTAAATCCTGGGATGGTCCATTGTAGTAAGCTATAAGGACATCATGAATGCTGGCTAGTGTCCAACCCATTATTAAAATTAAAATCTCCCATACATAATAACTGTATATAACATCTTAAAAATTAAAAATGTAAATTGTTGTACTGGCTGGGTGGCTCAGTTGTTTGAGTGTCATCCTGGACACCAAAAGGTTGCAGGTTCGATTCCTGGTCAGGGCACATACCTAAGTTTCAGGTTCAGTCCCTGGTTGGGGCATGTATAAGAGACACCCAATCAGTTTTTCTGTCTCATATCAATGTTTCTCTCTCTCTCTCTCTCTCTCTCTCTCTCTCTCTCTCTCTCTCTCTCTCTCTGTCTCATGCTTCCTCTCATTCTAAAGTCAATAAGCATATCCTCAGGTGAGGATTTTTAAAAAAATGCAGGTTTCTCAATTTTCAATAACTCAATCCAATGATTCCCAATGAGTCTTAATCCATGGAAGCCAAACTCTAGTTTGAGAGAACTACCAAGGAGTGAGAACCTTTAAATACAGTGAAGGCTTCCTGCTTGGACCCACTTTTCGTTGGTAAAGGACAGTCTTTTCAATTCCTTATATTCCACTCATCCAAGAACTGTAAACTGTAACAGTAAATGCCCTCATGATGGACATGGATTTTGGCAAAATAACATGACTCTTGATACATAATTGTACTTTTTTCCAGTGTGCTTCAGAAAAAACAAAAACAAAAACCTGGCCCATTAGGCCCATCTGGGGCAGGAGGACTGAAAGGTCCCCATGTTTGAATGATTTGAAGATTTACGCCAAAGAATTTCAATAAAGCAACAATTTCATATTTCATGATTCAATAACGAAGGGCAAGTAGATAAGAATACGCAACAGAAGCAAAGCCACAGTAACAAAGATACAATCAATACTTCAGAATGTTTACCTGGAACAGAAACTTATTTAACCTCAATATCTTTTCATATAGAAAAAGATGCTTCATTTTGCTAGACATAAACAAAGATAACGTTTCGCCATTGTTTCCCTTTTAACAAACCAAGTGGCCAAGTAGCAAATGGAAAAGCTGCAGGCATGCACGTTTTCTAAGTTGTCACCCTCTGAACTGGGTCAGTTACACAGATTTCTTTAAGTGTGTTTTCCTGTTGATGTCTACAGAGTATCCACCCAGAGCTATCACTTTCCAACAGCATGAAGGAAAACATTTGCTACAGAAAAAGTCTAAAGGACATTGTTCCTTGCAAGCAGCACCAATGTCTAGTTAATGTTGTCCATAACTAGGTCTGGGTATGTTAACAAAAAGAATACAGGTTTTCTGATTTATCCTCTGGTGCTCATTTTAATGTGGAATACTTCTTGACCCACCCAATAAAATGCTTCTGTGATTTTGTTTAATTCTCAAAAATTACAGATTGGGCCCTGGCTGGCGTAGCTCAGTGGATTGAGCGTGGGCTGTGAACCAAAGCATCGCAGGTTCAATTCCCAGTCAGGGCACATGCCTGGGTTGCAGGCCATTGCCTCCAGCAATCGCACATTGATGTTTCTCTCTCTCTTTCTCCCTCCCTTCCCTCTCTAAAAAATAAATAAATAAAATCTTTTAAAAAAAGAAATGATTGACATAGTCAAAAGAAAAATAAAAAAAAAGAACTCACAGTTTTCAAAGTTAAAAAAAATTACAGATCGATAGGAAAACAAAGACCCAGTTTGATCTTTGTGGTCATCTCACATTGTCAAAATAAACCCTGAAATATTACAATGGCCTGGCTTATCTCCTAGACTCCATCCTGCTCAGCCATGGTCCAGTGAAGTTAAAAATTCAAAAATCAAACCTTATCATTTGACCCAAAGGTTAGTTTTGCTAGGGCTGATGAGGGGGTAACAGAGATGACAGAACCAAATGTTCAGATACTTTTCTAATACACGTATATTGACATCATGGTTTTTTTTTTTTTTCTGATGGTTGATTTTTCTCATCCCTTAGCAGCCATGGCTTAAAGAAACCAACAAAAAATTTGGAGTAGATTCAGAGGTCTCTTTTTTTAAATAAAACAGGTATTTATGGTCTAGATCAGAGGTAGGCAAACTATAGTTGGTCAAAGTCAGCCTTCTGCCTGTTTTTGTCTTGTCAAGAAGCAAAGAATGGTTTTTACACTTTTAAGTGGTTACATTTTAATAGTTATGTCCGCACCTATATAATATCCTCAATATTGACTGCTGGTTTGCAGCACCTAAAATATTTACTATCTGACCTGTTATAAGAAAAATTTATCTACCCTCCATCTAACATTTTTTCTCTTTCTTAAAAAGAGCAATTTGAAGTTCTTGAGAAATGGTTACAGTGTTGGGAGTGTAAGTAGATACTGAGTTTACAATGAAGCACTGTTGGCTCTTATCCACTTAGAACTTTCTGTCTGGAATCTGTTACTTAGGATTTTATTTGTCATTAAATGTTTGGCATCGTTTCTCACGAAGGATGGATGGCATTTCCTACCAAATCAAAAAAGCATTATGGAAATTTTAAAAAATCAATTTAGATAGTTTCTCACAGACTAAAATAAAGATAAAGGAGTTTGGTACTTACTGAGACAAATTAATTTTTTTCATATATTCTGTTTTTTATGAAAAGTTAAAACTGAAAGTATCTTGGACTGCTGACTGCAGTGATCTTCCCTGGAGCAGAGGGTGAGGTCGGGAGAAGGGATCAGGATCCCGCAAGGAGCACTTCAAATTAAACTCCGCCAACTTCTCCTCACCTGCCTATAGGCAGTGAGAATCTCTCCGCTTGGATAACCATATGTTCTTCCAAAGAGCCCTTCATAATAATCCCTCAGGGGTACTGAATGGGTTGGAAACCTATGTCCTGCTGCTTTAATCCACTCAGTACAGGAGGCTGTACTGTGTGCTCTGGTCCAGATACTAAACTGTGCCCAAGACCAGATGAGCTCCCCCAAAGAGGGTGCTGTGGTGGGGGGGAGTGGGGATAAAAATGAACACCTGGATTGCAAATGCTAGTTTAACTAAGACTATTTTCCTTTCCCAGGCACATCATCCTTGAGATAATTTTATTTAAAAAGTAGGGTTTGTTTTATTTTAGTGGAAAAATGATTTGAATGATTTAAATTATGAGCATTTGAACAAATTAAAAACACTGTTCAAAGCTACTTAAAGATGTTAGTGTGTTAAAGACACTGATAGTTAACTAAAATTAATAATTTGTTTTTAAAAGTAGAATTTAACAATATTGTCAATGTGCTTGGACAGATAAATCCTCACATCACTGTAATTTGTATATTTTTAGATATTTTGACCTTATCTGGGGGAAAACATGGCCAATACAAACATACCACTTGATAATTTAATTTTTAAAATTTCTGATAAATGTACAGTGTATAATTTTTCATCTTTGTATTCAACAGTGACCTAAATTGATAATGGGTAGGATATACATTCTAAATCTGGTTAAAATACACATGATTGCTTAACCATATAGCCTTCTTTAATTGTGCTCTAAAAAAATTCATTGTCACAGCATATCCACCAGAAAAATTGGAAATTTCTATCTCACAGATGAGAAAACATCATATGAAGGATATGCTTTCATAAATTCACAAAGAAAATGGCTTAAAAATAATCCTATAATTGTTCCAGTGTATAACATCTTGCTCTTGATGTCTGCCTTCTGTGTAACTGTCCACTAAACAAAATAATAATTATGAAGGTACTAGTGAGGTTCAGAGTATACTGAAATCCCAAAGTAAGCCTTAGTGCCTAGATTCTCATTTGATTCAACTGCATAATATAATATGTAGATGTGCCCTGTGGGTAACATTAATATTGCTTATGGATCATGAAACAATGCTCATTGATACAGACCCAAGAGAAGGAAAAGATGCACTTTAGTGCTTAATATTTAACACTGGTCATTTCCATGGAAACATATTTATAAAAAAATCCCTATTGTGTAACTGCATAATAAAGCTTGATTGCTAATAATTGTAATGCATTTTGGAAAAAGTAGTTCGAAAGTATCACCTACTTGATATAAGTAAATGCACTCAGTGAGGACAGGAAATGAGAGTATATAATAACAATGTGTTCTCTGCCCACCCAGGTACCACGCCCCCCACCGCCAATTGTACGTGTCAGTTGTTCCCATTGTAAATTGTTGTTCCAATTCGAAAATCCTTAAATACGGTTTTGTTTTAGCTGGTTGGTTGTGGTCATCTATAGGACAAGTTAAATGCAAATTTCACAAGAATGAGAGAGAAACAAAAGAAACAGCCTCTGCTAAATTGTTCAATGTGGCAGCAGAGATAACCCATCATTTGAACAGGTTTAAACCCCCACCCAGAGTCCCAGGCTCACAGTCCTAGACTGACACACTGGGATGCCCTGTTACAGCCGACAGCTCTCATCACAGTAGAAACCAAGGTGCGGGGATGATTTGGAGAAAATGAAAGGGCAAACATTCCAATTTCACTTTATTTCAGAATGAATAAATGTACGTGATTCACAGTTACTCAAGAAATAGTCTCAAGAGAAGCGAGTTTTAGCATATCGAAATGGCTTAACTATTTTTGTGTCTGCAAGGTGTGTACATTTTAAAGGAGCCGAGATCTTCCATTTGTTTCTAAGGCCACTGGGAACTTGAGCGTTGCGGAGGCCTTTGTGGTCCCCCTGGCCCTTCTCTGCGTGGGAGCCGCCGGGCCTGCAAAGCCTGGGAGCCGTCAGACGCTGGCAGCGCGTTCCCACGCTCAGGCCGGGTCGGGAGGCCGCAGTGACCTAGAGGCTCCTTCCCTTGGCTCTCGCCCTCCCAGCCTCGCCCCGCCCAGGCCGCCCCTCCTCTCAGGGTCCAGCTCCGGAGCGTGGGAGCGCAGCTGCAGCCGCAGCGGCGGGCGGAGGCATCTCGGAGATGCGCTCCCGCTACCTGAGCAGGAAGCGGAGAATGAATCAATCGAGGAGCGGGCTACGGCGCGCGAGGAAGCCTGGGGACCCTTCGCACGCGGCGCCAGCGCAGGGCCTAAACTCGAGGAGCCAGTCACTTACTTGATGTCTTCCCACACCTCCAGGCCGTAATTGCGGATCACCAGCAGCTCCAGCGCGTGGTTCACAAATCCATACTGCGGAGACAGAGGAAAACCTGCGAGTCAGGGACCAGTTGTAGGTGGGAAGGGCTTGAGCGCGAGTTAGCTGTCACTGCGGTGCTTTAACCTTGTACCCCGCTCTCTAGACCCAGTCTATTCGATGTACTGTTAAAGAAGGGCATCAGAGGGACTCAAGCCACGCCTCAATAAAGAGCAGATCTTTTCCATCACCGTCTACCCCACCCCCATGCCACTTTCTTATCCCCATTCACCTGCCAGGCTGGGCAGCCTGAAAGCGCGGCAGAGGAGACGGGAACCTGCACCTCCCACACCAAGGCGCTCAGTCTCCCACACTGGCGGGCCGGCCTGGGCTGGGATGTCTCCGATCCGCGGTGGCACGTCCCCTTCCCAAGCTCCGGAAACCGCGGTGCAATACAGCTGACCTCCTGGCTGGCAAAGGCATCCACTGCCCCCCCCGCCGCGACCCACGGAGTTCCCACCTCCCCAGCCCCCGCAGCAGGCTAACAGCGAGGCTGCTCCCGCGACCAGAGGTGCACTGTCCGAGTCCCAGCGCCAAGCTCCGGTGGCACAGCCGGTCCCCTTAGGCAGCCAGGCCGGTCCAGCTGCGCTGTGAGTATTCAGCCTGACCAGGCTAAGAGCTCTCACCATAGTGTCTGCGCCCGGAGCTGGGGAGGCAGCCCTCACGGAGAGGCACGGTCGAAGGTACCCAAGCGGCGGCTGCGAAGGCGACAGCGCAACAGGACCCCAGCGGCAGCTTAGAGCTGGAAGGAGAGCAGCCTTCGCGGCCCGCCTTGATTGCCATCTCTCCCCAGCCAATGGAGAGTCGAGCCGCAGGGGGGCTGGCCGCTGCCTCCTAGTTTTCAACCAGTCAGAGGCAGAGGAGGGAATTCAGATGCTGTCACCACTGTAGCGCTCTAGGGCCTTCCCGCCCCCTCCCTAGTGACGAGGCTTTCGATCGAGGTCACATCAATGACGGTAGAGAAGCCTCAGTTTTGTTCCTTGCATGAATACTGGGACAGAGAGAATGCAGCTATTGCAGTTCTACCAAATATATTCTCAGAGGTAGGAAAACCTGAGTAGAGCTGTGTGCGTGTTTTGCAGCGCACAAACCTTAAAAGGAATAGGCCCTTGCTGTCAACATCCTCTTCTTTACTGTCATCTTGCAGATAAATATTTCCTTTGTGGCTTGGCCCCTCAACAGTTTATGGTAAACTTAAAGCTAATAACACTGAACTTCCCAAATTTTACTTTCAGCCAATGAAACTAGCTGAAAGGGTCAGCTAAAATTTTCAGCAATACAGTTTGGTGAGCATGGTGTCAAAACCAGCTCCGCTCATTACCGAACTTCCCTACAAGATTCAGTAACGATCTATGCTTGATCCTGGTGGGATACCTGATCCCACATTAGAGCCAGGAATCATGAATCCAAAGTTTTTAACTGACCAGAATTTGGTGCTAGTTGTTGCTGTTTTCCTGATGAACTGGAAAAGGCGCAGTACAAAATGGGCAGACTTTCAATTAATCCAACCCAGTCTGTAATCTACCAGGCACTTGGGTTAGTTAACCCTCGTCCCACCATGGGAGAAGGAAGTGTCTGTTGTTTAAAACATTGTGTTTGAGTTACATGGATACAACCAACTAGGGTTAGGTCAAAAGTGAGGAAGGGAAGGCAAGCATTTGCTTCCAGATCTACAGTGTCAAGTGGACCTGAGAAGCCAAGATGATATTTTATGATGTGAATAGTTTGCTGTGAGAACAATTTCAAGACAAATAGAGAAAATATCAAACAATAAAACTACTGGCATTCATACCAGAGACCTATCTTGAGGCATAATAGATGCAGAAATTACATAAGAAACAAACAAAACAGCAACAAATAACTTATAAAATATTAACTTCCATCAATGGTAGAATGAAAAAATAAATTATAGTTTTTCATACAATGAAGCTCTATACAATTATTAAAATATTAAAACATTATTAACTATTCATATAGCCCATTATTCTATACAAACACAAAAAAATAGATACGAAATGATACAGAAAAATATATTTTTACATGAACAAGTGACACATAAATGCTCTTCCCTTCAATTTTTTTAATCCTCACCCGAGGACATATTTTCATTGCTTTTAGAGAGAGCAAAAGGGAGCAGGAGAAACATTGATGCGAGAGAGAGGCATGGATTGGTTGCTTCCAGTCCACACCCGGACAGGGGACAGTATGCACCTAGACCAGGCATTTATGTGCCCTTCCTAGGAACTGAATCTACAACCTTTCAGTTATGGGATCACGCTTCACCCAAATGAGCCACACCAGCAAGGGCTCACTTTTAATTTTTTAGTGGTTGTACAGTGGACGGTGTTATTTGAATAATAAGAACACATACACATACATTGTGATAAGCATAACCTTCTGGGAAGATGTATAGGAAATTTTTGATATGTCTATTGTCTGTGATTACAACCAGTGGTTGAAGGGACCAAGACTTTCAGTTTTTGTATTATGACCTTCTGTATCTTTTGATTTTTTTCTATTCACATGAAATAAAGTTTTTAATATGTCAAAAGCACTGTTTCTCCGATTTTAACCTGTCTTCCTTTGAACAGATCTGTGGTGTCTTTACTTTAGACTCTATAGGTAAAACATAGGGGAGAAAATTGCTCTCTGGTGATGAAAAATGAGGAGAGATAGAGAGAAAATGAATAATGAGCATTCCTGCTGACTTTTTTTTCTATCCGAAGGTCTACCTTTCATGCTCATTGTTCTTTTTGTCTAGTGAATGTTTGAACTTATTGACCTTTTGTCCAATACCTATTTGCATTTGTAACTATGTACACTGCTTTTTCTAATTGTTTTACATTCTCTCAGATTCAAGGAAGTTCGGTTCACTGAAACATCACCAACTTTTGTTTGGCCCACAAGTTACTACAAAGGATATGATGATTAGAGAGAGAAGGGATCCCACCAGCCCTGCAAGAACCTGAAAGAGGTCACCACGTTTCTGTGAGTGACCTCCCTGTCCATCGTCCCCACTGCCCACAAAGGAGTGGAGAAAACAGGCCACAACTAAGTTATGCCATATTCTCAGAAACAATAAATCACCCTCCTCTGTTTGGCCCAAACTGAAGACAATCAGTTAGGAAGGCAAAGCAGAAGCTTAGGGTATGGCTTAGACAGCCATAAAGTCAGTGCTATTTGAAAAACAGTCCAAGGCATAAATAGTAAATAAATAAAAAAGGTGGTATGGGGTTGTCAGGAGTGTAAGCTGAAATGACTCACATTTTCAGCTAATAAAAATATATTAGGTGGCCTAATGAAGTATTAGATGTATTTAATGTTTTCAAGGCTTTTCTAGTGATGTGAAAATAACAAACTACACTGGAAATAAAGAAGAACATATTTTGGGGAATGTTCTCGGGTCTGTGAAAGTGTTTCTCAAAGCTTTGGTGTTTTGCCAGTTTTTCTACCATGGAATTGGGACTTCTATTTTTGGATTGTTTCTGTGAAGCAGGGTGTTTGTTAGTTTCACCAATTACTTATGCAGTGATTTGCAGTATATTCATAAGGATCTTTAATATGCATGGCTCAGAGCCTAATAATTGTTTCTTCATGAACCTTTGCTGCTAGTATTGGAGAGGCCCACAAATGCCACACCTCTCACTATTTTTGTTAATATAATCACTCAGTACTTAAAACAAGAAACTTAGTATGCTTATAAGCAAAGTAAAAAGTACATTGTAAATTACACATTATGTGCCTTGATAGTATGGTTCAGTTGGTTGGACATTGGCCTGCAAACTGAAAGCCTGCCAGTTCAATCCCTGCTAGGGGCACATGCCTGGGTTACTGGCCTGGTTCCTGATTTGATCCCTCTTTCTGCCCCTGTATGTCTCCCTCCCTTTTCCTCTTTCTAAAAATAAATAAATAAAATCTTTTAAAAAATAAATGTCACATTATGTGGTATTGTTCTGAATCAATGAAAAAAAGATATTTGATAAAACAGTTGGCATTCAGATATCCTTTTAATTTGCAAATTAACTCTAAGTTTAGTCACATGAAAAAGGTATAGATATTGAATGTTAAAATAAGCACTTTTTAAAGTTACTCCTTCTATAGCAAATTATTTAATTTTTTTTGCCATCAGACTTTTTAAACAAACAATGCAATCACAGACACATAGGCAAACATATATATAGTTTTCTCTCTACATAGAAAACATACACATATGGTTTTCTCATATATATATATATATATATATATATATATATATATATATAAAATGTTTGAACTCTGTAAGTAATTGAAAAGAAATTAAAGAGAATGAAGGATGATGTTTAGTATGGATGTTATCATTATAAACATTAAAGTAAATTAAGTCATCATCATACTATACTGAAGTATTTGTAATTAAATAAATTTTTATTTCTGAGAAAAGCTTATATGAAAACTACATTTAGCTCTAATGTTATGCTTCCAAAGTCAAATTGATTGAAAGAACTAACTGGCCTAACCTTGGCCACAGCCCACACATTTGTATGGCTGGGAGAGATGATCAGGTCTTTTGTAAGGATTGGTCTACTATGAACATGTCAAAGATTCATCTATTTTGAGCACAGAAAGGTATTTTAAAGGTCACATAGTGAAACTTTCTTTACCTATATCAGGAAACCTCTTATGTATTTTGCTTTGTAGGGAAACAATGAGAAATTGAGATCTTAGCCAAGAAATAATAATAGTAAAGTAATGTATTATTGTCCTCAGATGCTCTGGAAGATTTTAAGATTCCATTGGAACCAGAGCCAAGTATACTTTCCTACAGTCTCACTACAGAAGGTGAAATCCCACACATGAGTTACACATGTGTGGTTCAAAACAGCCCACAGCTCCCAAAAGCCTCTAGATATCGCATTAAAGCACGGCTCTTCTGTAGACTCTGTGAAATTACATACTGAATATAACTGAAACACAAGGAAATAGGAGAGATTAAACACCATTAATTCAAATGTTTGGTTCCTTCTTTTTTATCTTTTCTTGATTGGAAAAGCAAAGAAGAAAGTTAGCAACGGGGACAGTACAATGTAGCAGGTGGTCAGCTTACCTGGTTTTCCCCATTTTGTAAAGGTTAAACAATGAGGCAGGTACTTAATTTCTTTGAACTACAGTTTCCTCACTTATAAAACGGGGAAAATAGTAGGTCAATACACTCCAGTATTGAGAAGATTTAAAATATTACCTGCCTCACAGGTTTATTGTGAACAGTAAATGGTTTAATGCAAGTATGATGCATAAAGCAGTAAAGGGCACAAGCTAAGTTAAGTACTCAGAAACTATTAGCTAATTTACTTTTGAGGTTGTTTTGCTCTGCTGAGAATTAATCACTAATATGACCAAACTCCTTGTGTCTACCTTATAGAGATGTAATACGTATGCCCACTGGCAGCAAATGTGTAGTGAAAGGAGCTGAACCAT